CCCGGGAATCCCGCGCCGCGGGGACCGGTCCGCGGTGTGAGACGGTGACGGTAGCCGCCCCCTCCGTCCCCCCGTGCATCCCCCCGAGCATCCCCCCTCCATCCCCCCATGTATCCCCCCGTGCAGCCCTCCGTGCCCCGCTCCCTCCCGCCGTGCATCCCCCTGCATCCCGCCGTGCATCCCCCTGCATCCCGCCGTGCATCCCTCTCCATCCCCCCGCATCCCCGGTCCCCGCGGTACCCGCTGCCGCCGCCGCCGCCGCTGCCGCCGCCGCCCCCGCGCTCCCTCCCTCCCTCCCTCCCCAGGGGGGCGGGCCCAGCGCCCTGACGGACACGCGCTTCGACCAATCGGCGACGGCTCCGCCGTGGCCTTACGGCGGGAGAACCAATGGCGTGACCGGAGCGAAGCGGTGGGGGACAAAGGCGCGGGGAGAGGGGCGGGGGGAGCGAGGGCGCAGGGGGTCGAGCAGGTGCCTTATTTTTATGGAGGCCGGAGGGGGAATCAGAAGACATTTCGCTGCCTTAGGGTGGAAGTGTCATGGAATGCGTGGGGAAACGCACGGCTTGGAAATGCACCGGGAAATGCACCGGGAAGCGCACGGGGAAATGCACCGGGAAGCACACAGCTCAGAAATGCGCGTGTTGGAAATGCACGGCTCCCAAGTGCACCCGGGAATGCACAGCTGGGAAATGCTGCTCGGGCAATGTCCATCCCTGCGGATGCACCTGCATCAGCCCGGGGCAACGGCATCGTCACCTCCTGTAATGCCAAGGAGTGCCGGAGCTGATTCCCGGGCTTGCTGCATGCAGGGCATGGGCATGGGTGCCGTGGTAGAGGCTTTAGGGGTGCCGGACCGCACCGCACGGGGAGCACYGGCGGGTTAACCACGGCGTGGCTGCAAGTTGGTGCTAAACGGAGCTGCCGGTCGCGTGGGTTTGCTCCGAAGCTCATTCACTCCGCTCCCCGGGTGGCGTTTGGCACCACATTGCACCAACAAGGACCCCGTGGCAATAGCTGGGTGCCTGGCGTGCCGCTTCTGCAGCCTCCTGCGCAGCTTGCTCAGGGCTKAGCTGCGGCGCGCGGGAACTCGCCCTGTTTGTGCTAGATCACCCAGGCCGGGCACGTGGAGCTCATTAAAGCGCAGCCTGTCCAGCATTCCCTGGTCGGAGAGGACGCAGGGCAGCCTGGCTCATGGAAAACCCTGCTAATGCTCCAGAGGATGACTAGGAGGGCAAGGCAGCAGCATTCCCAAGGCTGGACACGCTGCCGGGACCCATCTCAACATTGCACAGCCCGGCTCTCTGCCCTGTGCTCCCACATTCCCACCGCGTGTTCCCGTGTCCCTAATGTGGTCATTCACGCACCTCAAAAGTGATGCAGAAGCAAAAGCTGACCTTGGAGCTCACTGAGGCTTTCCCGGTGGGAATGTGCCCCTTGCTGGCTCTTGGGCTCTTCCCAAGGGTGACATCCTTCCCATCCTTCCTTCCCGCTGTGCTGGGCAGAGTTAGGGGCGGATGAGCCTCTTCCAGGTTTTCCTCTCCCTTAGTGGGCTAAATCGGGAGCATCTGAGTAAGCTTCTTCAGCAAAAATTAATTGTGAGAAACACTGATGTCTGTGCTGTGGTCAGGAAAAACTGGATTTTTTTGGCTCCATGCATAAATGTGGGTTTTGGTTTGTTATATATGAATAATTTCCTCATCTACTGCCTGGATTTGGGCATTGTTTTGGCTGGGTGCTGCACAGTCACTGGTGAGTAAGTCCCCATTTCAAATAGTTTATATTTTAAATAAACAGGATGGAAAGGACAGCAGATATACAAAGGTAACATGGTAAGTCAGAGGCACCAGAGCTGGTAAAAAATCATGTTTCTTGTTTAACCAAAGTCACGCAAGCTGCTCTGGGGACTCAGACCGATTCTTGTATTTTTTTTTTTTTTTTTTTTTATGATTTTTCTGGCAGCATTCCAAAATGGGATATCTCAGGGTGATGGAAATGAAAAGATATGGATCCTGTCCCATGGATCTATGTGAAAAAGTGGTAACTGATAATATATCTAAGGGGACAGGGTGCAATGAGCACAGAGMGCCCTGCCTTGAGGGTGGCGGGAGGCTTTGCACAAAGCCAGGTCTTGCCTCTTGGGACCTRCAAATGGCTCTTCTCACACCTTGGTTTATGTCGGGCTCTTCTTCTGTCCATGGCAACACAAACCTGSGAGGGGGTAGAATGCAGCAGAAGTGAATGTAAATGCTCATTGAAGAAGAGATGTGAGGAGTGTCTKCCAAGCCCTGGGCATGGTCATGGTGAGAGCCACATATGGCACCTCCAGAGGGAAAACCRTCTTTGCAGCCATGGGGGTGACCAAGGGACACAACCTCTTGCCCTGCAGGGTCCGGGCCATCTGGATGCAGTGTCACACTGGTTTTCTTTGGCAAGATCTGGCCTAAATCTTCCTTACATCTCCTGCATTAATCTCCTACCTCAATTCCAGGGTCATGAGAGCTGGGAATTACCATGGCAATGACAGCGAGCATGACAGTGAGACTGGTATTCATATTKGTACTATTATTACTAACATTGTAATCATTATATCATTGCCACAACCTACTCTCCAAGGGTTTGATAGGCTCAGATCGTTTTTACTTGACTGAGACGCTGTTTTTCCAGGTCATGTTAACACTYGCAAATATACCCACGATGAGTTTGTGTGAACTATCATCTCCTTAGTATGTCAAACCAAGAGGGATTTACGATGCATTGTACCTCCGTCAGCAGCTTTGGGAATGTTCAGGCACATACTTCTGAGCCGTTGTTTTTATAAATCTACTTAAATCATTAAAATGCTTGTTTTAATGAATGCAGATTTTGTGCCACAAAAGGGAACTCAGTTGGCTGGAGGCTTCCCGAAAGCTGGAGCTGCTCCATCAGCGGAAATTGTTGGAAGATGTTTCTTCAAGTTCAGTCCTGTAAGTCAGGTGGGACTTGAGATGATCATGACAATCCTTGGGGTAAATCTGTGSAGGCATAAACCTTATTAACTCCAGTCAAGTAAAACTGCACTCGTTTCCCATTGATCCGCAAAGCTGACTAAGAAAGAAGAGGAATTGTACATTTATCATGTAAAACTCAATTCTGGAAACATTTAYGTTTTTAATATACTTATGTGTGCATGTATTGACAAGGTTGGGTTAACACAGTCATAAACAATTTATTTAAAGAGCCATATGATCTAATACAGATAGATTTCAGAATTATCACTTTGTAGTACTGCAGTATTATTGTTAGTGTTGCTTTTCAGCAGAAAGCGGCCCAAATTGGCCAAGTGACATCATGGGAATGTCTGGAGACAAGAGGAGCAGTGTTATAACATAAATACCCGCTGTGCCCCGGTCTCGCTCGTCCTGGTTAACTCAGGCCAGCAGCTCCTCGAGGCAAATGAGCATCTCCTTTTATGATACCGATGGATTGCGTCTTGCACAGGAGCTCCCAGGCTGCAAATGTGGCTCCTACAGAAATGCAAATAGTAATTAATAATAACAATAATTATAATAATTATGTGGGTCGTGCCCAGCTTCAAAATTGAAATTCCTTTAGCATAATTAACCTGCTAAGTTTTTATTTAGAAGGGAATATAAATCACAGTCTGTCTCCTGAGATGAAAGCTAAAATGCAGCGCACGCTGCCTCTTACCTTTGCAACTAATTCCTGCACCCGGAGCTCTGCTCAAGGCCCAGGAGCAAAACCTTGGGGAGCTGCTGATATGGATGCGCTGCAGGAATCCTCCAGCTCAGGGAGGGAGCAAAGGGAGAGAGATTTATCCCAGTCCTGCTTTTCCTCTGCTTGWTTCATTGGGGGAAAAGCTACAAATAACAAATCAGAGAAAAACGTGTAAAACAAGAGTGAATATTTTGATGATGACGTGATAGCTCAGAGCTCATCAGTCCATGGAAGGGCAAACAAGACCATGRGGAAAACAGGTTTTACTCTTGTCTTTGCTTTTTAGTCCTTTGCAATCGTTTTTAAGGATTTCTAAGCCCTTTTCAGTCCTTTCTGGCAAGGTGTCCGCTGGAATATTTAGTGTTTGTTCAGCAATAGAACCAATGTCCTGGTGCCAAGAGACAGCCTGTGGAGAGCCCCGAGCCCTCGTGGGCACGAGCGAGGCTGGAGCATCTCGAGCGACATCCCAGCAGTGATGCTGGGGAAGCGGTGCAGAACGTGGACACAAAAGCTTCAGGTTTGGCTTGAGCTGGGCTGCCACGGTCAGTGCAAGATGTTTGTGCAGCAAAGGAGGATGACATTCAACACAGCAACACCCTTCCTCCTTCCTCATGTTTTTAAAGGAGATTAATCTCATTTCATGTACTCGTTAGTCATTTAATACTGTTTCTGCCTTGGTAGGGAACTCGAGAAAGACGTTATTTGCAGTCATCACAGGTTTTTTTTTAATACAGTATGAGAAAAGAAAAYCATTTTAACTGAGGCATGAACTTTTAATGACTTTGTTCCATAATCTTTTTGAAGAAAAACTCCTGCTGAGCTAACCAAGTCTTTCAACTTTTTTTTTTTTTGTTATTGAATTAAAATGTTGGCACTGAGGGCTGCTCTAGATTTCATTTATTGTGCTATTTATTGGGCCAAATCCCCCCATCCTACAGATCTGAGTAAATCTTACCATTGAATATAAAGAAGAACAGAGACTTACTAGCAGTGATATCATCCAGCCATATGATTTGGGAGGCAGTCGTAAACATCATGTGTATGTGAAAAATTTATTTGGTATATATGATATGTAACAGAGGAGCAGTAGGTAGTTTGCAGAGGGCACTAACTTCTCTCACCAGCATCTATGACCAAGAGTGGACGTGTGGATGAGCCACCATCCAGAGCAATCCTAAGGCTCTGACCTTATTCCCTGAGGATGGAGATTTGTGCCTGGATGTGCCCGTGTCCCATCCATCTCCTGGGAATGTTTTTTCCATGGCTTCCAGGCCACATTTTTGCACCTGCAGTTCCCAGCCCCAGCGCGCAAGTGGGACCCTGCTCAATGCTGAGTGACTCAGGCAAGGTGACCTCGCTGTCACCCAGAGCTGGCTGTTAGTTATGGCAATTATGAGTAACTACATCCAGAAAAAGAAAAAAAACTTCCAAAGAGGCCATTATTTCCCTCTAAAAGGGTAATGGCAGATGTTTTCTGTGGAAGCGTGGACAGGAAACCCAACAGGAACAGTGAGGACCCTGCAGCTAGGAGGTAATTGTCATTATTTTTATTTCAGGGCCCAGTTGTGCCAGGCTCAAAACAAAATGATTGAGCCATTTCTATGGAACGTTTGCAAATTAAGGAGGGAAAGCAAACAGCAACCCTACCTTCTGCTCAGAAATCATTTCCAGGTTGCAGGGTTTACATGTTTTGCCATAGTCATATAGCCGTGCAGCTGATTTGGCTATTATATGATCCCTTYCAGAAAAAGGGAAGGAAAGAGGTACTCATTCTCGAAAACCCCAAGCCTTATCATACCAGAAATAGGCAAACTGGGCAATCTGTGGTTTGCTTAAAAACTTGCTTCTGCAGCAATATAATTTCCAAACACACCCGGTCCTGGCAAAGGCTCAGGACGTATCTCAGGAGACAGAAAGTGCTGCAGCAAAAGTGAATGTAACAAAACATTGATTATCTTCATCATTTCCATTATCCCTCCRTGGGTGACATTGGAAGCAGGAGGTGCTGGTGGCAATGGCAAGTGGTCATCCAGGCTCTCCTGCAGCATGTGCAATCTTTGCACCACCTTTGCAGAAGAACCACCWCTAAGGTAAGAAAGGGGACATTAATCTCAGGGGAAAGGACCATGTGGGTTCAGATAGAGTACAAAGTGCAGAAAACTGGAGGGAATATCCCCCAAATCCCGCTGCAGAGCTCGCAGCAGAGCCCAGGGCCTCTGCATCCAGCACCCACATATTGAGGTGGGAATAGAAACCTTGTTGAACCTCCCCTAGATAGGAGCATTGAGATGGGATGGGGTCTTCCTCCTGCCCTCGAGAGGAAGCAGCCCACGTGCGCTCTCATGTCAGCTCGTGCTGCTGGGCAGGACTGTCTGCAAGAGGCTCGGCCAGCTTGTGCCTTCCCAAATCACCCAGCTCCAGGCCCAAACCCACGTGAAAAACGATGGGACACCCACTTAGCTTGGATGCATTTCCTGGTGTTCATAGCTCTTTGCCTTCCTATTGGGATACAGATGGAAGCGTCCAAATTGTACCGGTCTCACTCTCCCATCTAGCGGTAAAACAAGGAAAGGTGGTCCAGAGAAGAGGCAGAAGAAAATTATTTAAGTTTTCCGTGGCTTCTGAGCAGGGTGCAAGGTGCTGTTATCCCTATGGGGCTCTGCAGTTCRTCTGAATCCTTCCCCAGCGTGCTGGGGCAGAGGGAGGACACGGAGCCAGCCCAGAAGAAGACACAGAGAAGAGCAAGGACCGCTCCACACTGGTGGTTCCACGTGCTGCCTCCATCCCAACGCAGCTTGCAGTGATGATGCTCGAGCATGTCCCGGCGCCAGCCGCCGCAGTCAGTGTGACGCAGCCTTTCCTGGAAGCATCTCCGCGGGCGCTGATAGCAGCASGACTCGGAGCACAGACACAGTGAGGCAACCGCAGGCGCTCGCGCAGGAAACGAGCRCGGAAGCGTGCGGCGTCAGCGCCGGGCAGCCTGCGCCTGCCCGTATCCGCCCGCGGCATCTCCTGCAGCCGCCCCCTCGGCATCATCGCGGGGCGCTGAGAGCTGCACCAGTGCAGCGGCCTTGCAGACCCTTCTGCCTGCAGCAGAGAGTGAGAGCTGCAGCTGCAGCAAGGGGCCACTTAGACCTGTTTAATCTTGTCCTGAATCACGGAGCTGGGAGGAGAGAATGGCACTGGTCCCCCCCAAAACTTCTTCAGATTATTAAGCTGGTTCAATCCTCCCAAAATCCGATTTAAAATACCATATTTTCCACTTAGTATTCAGTATTCACGCTAATATTCCAGCCTACACCTGAACTCTTGACTAGAACCAATATATTCATACAAAAGATTTATGTGTTCATCTAAGATGGAAGAATTGTGACATTTCCAGGATGATTATTCGATGTCTCATCTTCTACAAATAAGAGTAAAGAATAAGGAAAAAAAATCTGTTGATCCTCTTTTTACAAAGGGCTTCGCTTTCATACCTTTTTTATTGCCTTTCATACAGAAATTCTTTCCCAGAGCAGCACACTGCTTCATATTGCTTTACCTAGGATGTCACCTGAGTAGTTTGCAGCATGGATGGACTTAGCTGGAAGAGAATTACTCAGGAGGGTACGTTGCTCACTCACATGCTGCCAGATCAGGGAAGAGGAAGGATAAAAAGCACTGTGCACCTTTGGAAGGGCAGGAATTGGTCATGCAAAAATTGGTCTTCCACAGAAGAAATAAAAGGATCTGCTATGGTCAGCAGCTTGCCCAGGTGATTTCTCCAAAGGTGATGTCTCTTGCTGGGAGGATAATCCTGGCCTGAAAGTCAGAGCAATGGTCTGAAAAGTTCCTTTTCAGAACTCTGAGCCCAAAATGAGCATTGCAGATCTGCAACCCCCCTGCAGCCACTCTAGCTACCTTAAAACACGATATTTAAAATTGAAAGGAGAGTGTGAGGGGAGCAGATCGGGGTCCTTCTTGCAGGCAGGGCAGGGCAGGCTGCAGAGTGTGCAAAGTCGGATACAGCTGCACTTGCAGGGATGGGACATCCTCGGTGAAGGTGTGTGCAGGGATGGGACATCTTTGGTGAACGTGCTCCCTGCCCACCAGCCCTGGCRGGGATACCCGATCCCGGTGCCCATGGGCAGCCTGGCTGGTCCGCAGCTGATGCWGCATTTTGGCAGTGGCTCCGCTCTGATTTTCCTCACGTCGGGAGAGGGCAGCCTTCACCGCGGACGGATGCAGATGGAGAAGGTGAACAGCATCGCACCCATCACCAGCAGGAAGTTTTTAAAGAAAAGCCTAAAGGGAAAACTTCCAATGAAATTATCTGTGCAAATGAAAAAGGCACCTCTCTCTCCTGAAGACGCTGCCACTGCAAGGGGTTAAACTCCTGCTTGGACTCTCCCAGGTTGTCCAATGATGGGATTCACAAGGCCAAGGTGGCAGGAAAACTGTCCAGCAGCAGGGATTTTCCAAAGCCCCTGGAGCACGGAGGGCCAGGACTTGCAATAACCAGGATCTCGGGCTGTTCTCCTGCCCGGCGCGTTTGGGTTCGCTGCCCTCGGGAGCATCAGGGAAGGATGATCCCAATCTCTCCCCTTCCTTGGGGCTCTCTGTACTGAAGCAAACAGTGCTCCGGGGGAGATATCCCTGCCAAGGGCACTGCCATGAGCAGCACATCCCTTGTTCCTACCCTGCAAAGGGTGTTCACCGCCACAATAATTAAAAAAATGAGCTTAATGAAGAGCCGTGCTGGAGGCACAGTTAGTGCTACTGCTGCAGTGCTTCGTTTGAGCTGCAAAGAGGAGATAAAGTTCTGCCTCCCACTAAAAGTGTCACCRGGGAAAACAATTTCCTCCTTCTCTAAGCAGCATCATGCTGCTTCTCCCATTGCTGCCAGCTTCGTGTCATGGTATTTTCTCCACTTAAATCCTCCGGCCAMCTGGCAGAGCTGGTAGCCCTCTCCCCAGACTCCCAGATAAGATCCTCACAAAACGTACTCAAAAACAGGTTCACCTAGGAAAGAGGGATAAATAAGGGCTGCTCTTAACGTGAATAGCTAATGAAGACCCACTCAGCAGTCTCGGCATATTCATCAGCTCCAGCAGATGATCATTGATTGCATGTCTCCAGCTACTTTGTTCTTCTTTGCTTATTCTACTCGGGTCAAATTAAGCACACACAGAAGCACGGCAGCAGTGATAAGAGCCAAAGGGAGATGGCTGTGATGGTGACCCAATCCAACTGGAAAATTACCGGTTAGGTATTTTTATAGCCCGTCACRTGGAGCTATTTCATCTAGCAGCGAGAGGTAGGTCACTTCTAATTACCAGGGGTGAAACGCAGCTCCGAACACCATGCAGTGGCTCTCATTAATAAGAGATGAGGCCGAGCAGTCCTGCCTGGGA